TTGCTGTTTTCTGTTTTATAAAAATGTGTATGTTTGTGAGGTTGAAGCTACTTAAATTGCCCTGTAAAGGGACAAATAAAGATTTTTACTACTACTACTACTACTACTACTAAGGTAGCCTATACTTCAGATGTTGTGTAAATTTAAATGACTTTCATTAGAAATTATAATATTATAAAACTATGATTTCTTTATAGCATAGTATGTCATTATATTCATGCGATATCTCATTAATACTTTACTTTTATTTATATGGTTTTCTATTTATTTTTATATGAAAAAGTGGATTTTTTTACTTTTTAGAAATTTTCTTATCCCTACCTGCAGAATTTAATTGTGTTTTACAACCGGAAAAAGGTCTTTCTGCTTGTGAATGCTCATTAAATGAATTCAGTTGAGCTACTTCCTTTCATATAGTTATTCGTCATATCAGCCAAACGCCAAGCGTTTTTTAAGCACTAGTGAGAGTGCTTAAAAAAGATTTGCAAACAGGGAGAATATATGAAAGCGTACGAACACAACCTAGGAATCTAAAAGGCTTTTAAACTAAAAAGTCACCATCATTGAAATGTAATCTACAACTATTATTTTAGGCACGTTTAATGATTTTTGGGGGTTTTCTGAATGATAAACTGAGAGCACAAAAGTCCACTGAATGAGGATCAAACACAAAGACTTTAAAAACCTACTATGAAGAATATTTTGGTTTTTGCTGTTGCTCTCAGCAGAGCCAGTAGAAACAAACTATGAGCAACCACCAAAGTACAAAATAATACTGGAAAAGTAGTGATAACCCAAACACAAGTTGCAAGTCGTGCCTGTTGTGCTTTAGGTTGTCAATCAAACTAATATAATTTCTTATCTGATTATCTCTACTGTAAACACGAATTAGCCCATGAATACGGTCTAGCCTATAAATTTCAAATATCAGTAGTCTATAAAGCTGAATAGCTTAAATACCTTTTTCATCATGACCTGATCTAAAGCATATTGCATTGTGAGTGCATCCTTAATTGTTGCCTTTAATGCATTACCAAAAGTTTATGTGATCTCTTCCATCAACATCTCATGCCAAATGCAAAGGCTGCGATGACACTTTGTGTATGTGTACAAGGCATTTGTTTTACAAGGTTTTATGAAGTCATCATCCTTTGACATTTCATGGGCTCCCTTAGTCTTGATTAACAGGGACCTTGTCAATGTACATCTGACCTATAGTGATCTTTTTTTTTTGTTGGTAAGGACAATAGTGTTCATGTTCACTAATGAAGGACAATGCTGTGGTAAAATTGGGGTTTCACTGACGAGGTGATGAAGGGCTCCCTTTTAAGAGTGTCATTTTCTTTGTGTTATTACTGCTGACCACAAAGGAGGAATTAGTCAAAAGCTTGTTTTGAAAACCACATTCCCTCTTCGGCATATAATAATCATGCCCAGGGGAAGTGTAAAGTTGATCCAAGTGTTAGTCTGTGACTGCAGAATTATGTAAGCCACACTCACATTGGTAAGTATCTTGGTTTAAATAGGCATTTATGTATTCATTCAATCACTAACTTATTATAATTCCTCTATGTAGGCATCACACATCATAAAATTACTTAGCAACTTTCATTTTGGCCTGAAGAATTTCTCTGGCAGGACACTTTGTATGTGGCACTTTTTGAGTTTCTGTAATGATGTCTTTTGAGAGCAGAATGAATCATTACATTTTAACAAGCTCTTGTTTTAAATATACATCTGAATATTAAATTGTGATTTACTATTTGATAATCAAAGTGGTTTTTCAAATTAGTCCACATGTTGTAATTTCATTGCCCTAATGAACGGTAGTTATCTGTATCGGCCAATCCCGTCAGAATGCATTGTTATTCTTTGTGCTTCGAAGTTGCTTTTTCCTAATTATATGAGTGACATACTGGAAATGGATCTCAATCCATTTGTGGCAACGTTCATTGGAAATATATTAATATCGTAAAAATAGCACACAAACAGTCATAACCCCATTCATCTGTGTAGATATAAATGGATGAAATGTGTTTTCAGTTAAAGTCAGTTACTTGGTGTTCACTAACCTCTAGATCAATTACATTTACTACATAAATAAGCTATCCCTTTGAAACTGAGACTCAGGAGATGCTGTTGTTTACAGGATGCCACCAAATGCATGCATTCTTCAGCAACCTATTTACACGGACAAGTAAGTGTTTTTCAATTTCTGTTTTCTATTGTGATGCTTTTTGCTATTTTTCATGAATGAGCTATATGTCAAAGCCAGCTGCTGATGGTAAATCCATCACTTTATCACTGACACTTTCTGGCAGTAATATTATGGAGGATTAATTGGAACATTTTTTCTTACCATCACAAAGTAACACTTTATAATAACTTTCATTTATGAACAAACACTATTATATAATGTAACAGGTCTTTTGTTAATAGCCTACATTTATATATTTTGAAATGTCATAACACTTTGGTTCATATAAGATTCAATTAGGCCTTTATTAATCAAATCAACTTCAAGTATGTTATATCAATAATGGCATAATAAAACATATGCTAAGTTCAAATTAAACTGGCTAATTTTGCTATTTAGCCTACTTGTAAGGTTCTGTTAATCAACTCCTATGGTATTTTTTTTTTCTGTCAGAGAGGTTTTAATTATAGTTTGGGAAATAGGACTTTTATTTGACAACATCTGCACAACAGACCATTATTAAATCTAATGTAGCCTATATCTCGTTGCGTCATCTGTTTATTATGCAGCGCGTTCCGAAAGCTGCAGATGTAAACGAATCATGGTTTTGTAGGCTATTTTGTCGTATGAAAGTGTCAATCCGGTCACAATTGTAATAAGGCTATTTTATCTCTAAAAGTGTTAGCCTACTATTAATCCCGTTGTTATTGTGTTACTGCTGCTTCAGTTAACTTATTTTCTTTCTTTTTTTCCCCTCTCTTCGATGTTGCAACTGACAATAATATCGCCATGTTCTTCCGATCTTTTTGACAACTAAAACTAAGAGATGAACCCGTATGGCATTCTTCCCCATATAAAATTGTCGTAGGTCATGTCTTAGTTTTCAGAGGACACAAGTTTCTTAGGCCTATAACAGATTGAGATGCATTAAGAAAGGGCAAAACGAATAGGCTGCATCTCAATCTGTTATAGGCCTAAGAAACTTGTGTCCTCCGATCTTTTTGACAACTAAAACTAAGAGATGAACCCGTATGGCATTCTACCCCATATAAAATTGTCGTAGGTCATGTCTTAGTTTTCAGAGGACACAAGTTTCGGCCTATAACAGATTGAGATGCAGCCTATTCGTTTGGCCCTTTCTTATTGCAGCCAGTGTTATGTTTTTCTGGTAGACTAGCCTACTATGATAGTCCTGCTATATATTTAGGCTATTGCAAGCTTTGGTAATTTCAGGGGTGAAAAATACCAAGTGATTGTAGCCGATGTCTGAAGATGCATTTTTGCTTTAGGCCTACTCTTGAAAGTCGAATCTTGTTTTTTAAAGGCTGTTTATAATAGTTGATTAATGACTATCGGTAGCCTAAATTTTCTATTTTCCAAAGATTTTCTTCTACATTTTTTCTTAAATTGGTCAATATATTTCCTCTTTCGAATAATCCAAAAACAATGCAGTCATAAACTACTTATTTTGTGAATTTTTTTTTTAGCCTTTTTTCTTTTTTTAAAAACTCGAGACAGCTCATACAGCGTTAGCCATGTGGTCGCACAGCACACCTGACATTTTTCTTGTTACGTCGAAAAAAATCGTTTAATCTCAAACACATTAGTGTCAGTTTAAAATATGTGCATTGTTAAAAATGCATTAACTAAAACAAACATTTGCAAAAGACTTTAATGGACACATTGAAACATTTTCCAACCTCATTATGGGCTACCGCTACCAACTCTTTGGCGTCCGTATCCGGAAACATTTTTAAAAGTTTGTCCCTCCTGTTTTAGAATTTATTTTTATAACATGTTCATTCTTGTATTATTATTATTATTATTATTATTAGGCTATTCTAATTATTAGACCTATTATTAGAAGACGGGAATCCTGTGAAAAATCTCTCGTGTAGCTAATTATTTTGTTTCCATCCACGAACACTAATAGCTTCGTACACAGATTGCTAGAACGTGTTGAAAGAAATATTTTTGTTACATTTGTAGAAAATTAAATGCCTTTACAGTTTATAATTGAAGCTGCACATTTTTTAAGTGTTTTATTTTGTGCCATGATCTCGCGGCAGTGTCTTTTAACTATTTCCAAATAAAAGCACAACACTTAATTCACCGAATGCACGAGCTAGCCTACATGCTTGTAACCTATATTATAACCTATAGTTATGCAAAATGTTCACCAAGTCTTGACTTTGTTAGCCCAGAGGGCTTTCGTATTGCGTAGCCTATTGGTACAGATCCGAGCCTGCGGTCATATAGATCGAGTGAGAGAATTTGTCAAAATCCTTAGTGTCGTCGACAACTTGTAAAAGTGTTTAAAATTAGTTTCGTTTGCCTTCCAAAATGTGTTAATTAAATTGTCTGCTTCAGATCCAGTATTAAGAATTGTAATTCAGATTATCGCATTAAATATAATTTGATTCAGTCTTCAAAGGTAAAATGTAATAACGGGGGAGTTATGCCTCTTCCTAATTATGTTACTGTAAGAGCTGAGCCAGTTATATTGGTAGTAAGTTGTGAAGTCAATTGCATTTGCTTTGTAAATATTAGCCTACTGATGGACTTCACTCTGATGTGATTATCAATATGAATAACCGCCTCTCAAGTAAAATAACCTGGTCTAATTGTAGCTTTTTATTAGAGGGATTTGCAGATTATCCTGTCTTAACAGAGTCATAAAAACATTAATGTCATTGCAGTTGAACGTAACTGTGCATTTATTTGAAACGAGAAAGTAAAAGACATCTTGAGTTGCTTCTCTGCATACTAATACTATTTTACAAATGCTTGATTTTAAACTCACCATAACAGGCGATGAGCCCTCCGTTGTGTCCGCTGTCCTGCTGGAGTTTGCTGCTGTCTGGGGGAGTTTTGCAGGAGGACCTCTGCATGAAGAGGTGGTATTTGTTAAAGGTGCCTTCCCCAGCAGTGGCATCCAATGACTGGCATTCCTGCTGGAACGGGCTCCCAGCTTTTTCCCCGTACGCCTGACCTTTGTTGGTCAGGAAAGCGGGGCTGTATTTGGTGTCACTCGCCTGGAATGTCCTGAAAGGGTTCGCCTGGTGATCCCTACCTTGCGGTGCAGATGGGCTATAATATGAATCCATGGATGTCATGTCGCAGTATGAAACGCACGTCTCGGCGTTCATTCCTAAAAAAAAGTTTCTGGAAGAAAAAAGACGTCCAATCGATTTTTTTCTTTCTTTTCCTTTTTGGAGAGCAAGGCGAGCAGATACGCTCACACTCTCTCCCTCTTCCTCGTACAAACCAATACACATACACACTCACACACGCACGCATAGACTTGTGCAGCAGCTGGCTTTGGTTATACAATGATTCAGATGTTTTCCAGAAACGGATAGCTAACCAAAAGCTAAAAAGCCCCCTTAAGGTTAGAGGAGTAACGAAAAATGCGTCTTCTGAAGATGCAGCCCAGATCTCCTCGGTATACGCACGTCAAGACCTCTCCTCGGTTATTATGTAGATGCAATGAATGGGTGAGGTCAGACCTTTGCTTAGAAGAAGAAAAAAGTGTTTTGTTGGAAATATGTGGGGGGACTTAACACATGACATTAATGTCATTAGGATATGAAATGTATAACTGATTGAATGTGAAGGGCAGAACGGAGGGAGCAATTTAATGGTTGATTCGCAATGCTTTTTAACTAAGACTTTGCAACAAAGAAACAAGTTTGAGCTCTATATGGGATTATATGTTTGTTGTGTTTAAGCCACTGATGTGTTTCGCTGTTAGAATCTTATGGTTTTCTTTTTCTTAGATATATTTTCACATTTATCTTGTTTTGTCAGGTCTGATCTTGCCTTTGCCACCGTCAAGATCGACTTCGTATGCCTTATTGTGCATTTAAATATTTGAATGCAATTTGAAAGCAACCCGAATAAATTCGAATAAAATATTTTAAATCTATAGATTGCTGTAAACCTTTTCAGATAGAAAGATTGAGGCCACAGTAGCCTCACTAAATTAATTCTCATTTATTGTCTTGAAGGTGTTCTTGCAAACACTAGCTATATTATGTTTCGTGTAGCCTAGCTTTGTTGGTATATGGTCTGCCAGATCTTTTTATTTAACAATCAGCATGAAATTATTTAGTTTCTAATAAATAAAAAAAATGACGAATGATTTTAGCTTTTACATTTTTCTATTGGAATAACAAACCTTGCTGAAGAAACATGTTTGGTCGAGGTGGCAGTAAAATATGACGCAGTAGCCTATATGATGACGAACAAGTTTGGCCTGCAAAAGTTTCAGTCATGAAAAACACATCCACTTTTTGTAATTTAATTATGCAAATTAAACATTTAATAAGTTCATGTGCGTACAAAAACTTTTTGATATCATAGGGTCATGTTATAAAAGTGCATGCCGTTCTTAAGTGTAGCCTATTCTCTTTTTTTCTTTTTCTCTTTTATTCTGCTGCGGTAGCCTACATTGTAACGATTATTTGCGGTCCTCACTCTTGTTTATTTGAAGTTTCCACTAAGCGATGCATTTACAACAACATCTTTGCAGGTTCTTAATTTTATCTTGAGTTAGAGGTTAAGACCCAATTTATCCGAATCCATAGAAAAGAGCAGTCCCGATGCCTATTCATGGTCAGCATCTTCTTCTTTTTTTGAGATGTGAGAAGTCTATGCGACCACCAAAATGTAAATTTTTTAATTACATATAAGCCGTGTTCTTTATCCAAGTTTCTTTTCAAAACAACACAGCCATACAATTGCGAGCTATCATTTTAAGTTAACGGTAAAATCTCATTTATTGTGTGATTTTTGCGCAGCACGTACGTCATCATGCTTGCCACTCAATGGTGATGGTATAGTATGGTGAAGCACGATTGCATTAAATTAGCATATGAAAAGCTGAGGGGAAGCCTGGTCAGGATAACAAACCTGTCTAAATGACACGCATTTCCAGCAATGGCGATATGCAGAACTGATACAGCAAAGTGAAACAGCTGTGAGTAATTCGATAAAAGTGCATATCTCACAGCAATGTGTGTCAAAATATGGTTCATTTTCCGAATGTTTTTATTTTGGAGTGTTTTGCGATGGCTTCATTATCAATTATTTTGACGCCTTGATTATAATTTATTATTATTTTTTTATTTTACCTTTATTTTACCAGGAAATAGTCCCATTGAAATTCAGAATCTCTTTTTCAAGGGAGTCCTGGCCAAGACAGCAGAATAATAGTTCCATATTAATAAGTTAAACAAATTAAACAAATAAACAAATTATAAGTAGGTTACACAAGTGTTTGTATTCAGGGGCATTGGAAGGCAGTACTAGCTGAAAACGTTAGTGAGGGGAACTAAAGAACGCCATAAAACGGTGTCAGCTAAAGCTGCGTTCCTTATAAAATTCAATAGAGCATTTATTTCTGGTGCTGCATTGAAGTTCTTTCGTAGCCTACATCAATTCTTGCGCTATCGTCTGAAACTGAACATTCAGTCCAGCGCAACCAGATATTTGACTTAATAAAGGAAATATGAGCTTAATTGGAGTTCTGACTGCAATGCACCACATTGGTTGGTTGCTTGCTGTTGTAACAATACTGAGATGAGCATTTCTACTGCTAATATTAGCCTACCTGTCTGCCACTGATATTGCGACTTATTTTTTTTATTATTATTTCATGTTTTAATTTGATTTACAGTTAAGCTTTAACGAGTGTAATTAAATGCCAACGAAAATAATTTTTCACTTAAATCAGTTTTGATCATTGTGATTTATTTATTAAACATTTCAATGTTCTCAAAGCTTATTTTATAATATTTTCCCCTTTGCAATTACGGATTTTTTAAGCCCATGTTGACGACTCATTCACTTGTCAGATTGTTTGAATGCACATTTACCAGCGCAGTGTAGATCGAATGTGGAATCATTTTTTTTTTTTTTTTGCACATTTTCAGCAATGAGCAGACTCTCTAGTTCATGGGCAAAAGTTCACTTTCAGAAAAAAGTGCATTGATTAAATTCGTTTCAAACCCAGTGCTAAATGTAGCCTAATTTCATTAACTCAGGTTTAAGGTCTCGATTTTCAGACTGCCCTCGTGAATGATAAACATAGAACCGTTAGAACCGGCTCAATTTTCATGTCGAACACTCTTGGATATTTTTTTTAACATGTTTGGTCTATTATCTCTTGAGTTATTTATGGCTATCAAGTGTTTCACTACGCACGTGTCTAGGATCATTTCATTAAAGTGGGCTATTTTTTAAATAGACTGACGTATGCTTTGTTGCTATATTTAGGCCTAAATGTCATTCTTTTTAATATGCTTTGTAGCCTATTACCTTTTCATGTTTTTCATTTTCATGTATTTTCATGTAGGCTTCTTTAAATTACTTAATTTTTATTTAGGCCGAAGTGAAAAACGTATTTAACTCCAAATATAAATCTTTGCTAATTTGCTAAAGTGTTTGAAATATTAATCATTTAAATCCTTTCACTGCTTTTTAAGATAGGTAGCCTATAGGCTAATCATGCAATAGCATACCAAACTATTGTCAATTTTAATTCATAAATTGAAAACCTGCAGTAACATAGAAAAGTGTAGCCTAGCCTATATGAAAATGCATTTTTTTTCACATAGCCTAATATACGGCCAAAAAAAAAGCGCCTCTTCATGTTACTCCATATATGCTAATTAATTTACCGAATCTAATATTCATCATCCTTATGAATCGGTAGTTGTGAACGTCCTGCGATCATAATAATTAACGCAACGCAATAGGTTCAAGCACACGTTCTGGACACACATACTGAAGCACTAAAGGCCTCCCTTTTTATTGTCCGCGCATCATGTTAACAATCATTTACACGCTGAATAAACCAAACAGATTTAGCCCTCTTTATACTTTTTATTTTTATTTTTTTTATCCAGTCTCTCATGCCCTGCAGAAAATTAAAGCACAGCTGCGCTGGCCCAAACAAAACTGGCATCAGATGGAGAATAAAACAGTCGCTTCATTTGAGTGGCGCATCTCTCTGTCTGAACCATGCCTCCACAGATGGCTCTTGGGCAAGACGACTAGAAATAGAAAGTCTAAGGAGGGTGTGCAGGAATAATGCTGTGTTTGCACCACATGATGGCTTTAAGGATGCTTGCAGGATGTGGTTGCCCCTGTGGACAGGTATAGCAGACATGATGTCAGATGTGTTTTTACATCAGGTTGTGTTCCAGTGACCTGACATTTATAGATTCAGTCGCTTGACAGAGCTGCTTCTCATATCCTGCATGTAGAGCACATGCCACAGCAGAACAAATGTGAACCAGCCCCATGCAGTCTGTTTCCAGCACTCTCTCCTTCTGATTGGATATGAAGGGCATGTTAGTCCACTGAAAAGGTGCCTGTAAATGTATATATCACTGTCTGCATATGTCAGGGCAGATTATTCTGAGCACAGTCTGCTCTCACCTTTCATAAGTCATTCCACCCATTCAACTGATTAATTATTTAAGAATTTGCAATCAAACAGCATTAAGGGATGATTAATGATGGGCGTTCAAATTAATTGCCTTGGACCGTATGCGAGTGACTGTTAAAACTGCTGCTTTTTATTTGTTATCTAATCTTTTTATTATCTTTTTAGTATCATATAGTGAATAGTGGAATCATTTACTCTGCTTTCAAACTTTATGATTTCCTAATTTACTACAATTAAGTGAAAAATGCTGTTAAAAAGTTATTCTCTGTCTACTTTACATATGGCTCCTTTGTAATGATTGCCATTTCATCCAGAATGATTTATTTTTGCAGGAGAGAAGTTACTAAAATTTATTTGCTTGTTAATGCGTTTTACAAGCTTTAATCCACACTTTTGAAAGTCTGCTCATTCTTTGTGAAATTGTAACATATTTAGACAATGCAAATATATTTAATGTAGGTAAATAGCATTTATATTTACCATATTTGTGTTTCATATCATTTTACATGCACATCTGTCTGATATATAGGCCATAAATAGGCCATATATGTAGTGCTACACTCAGAGTGGTTTGTTTTGCTCTCATGCCCAGCTTCATTCTCTGTAATTGTTTTAAGTACCATGTTCTATAAAAGCGAGTTATAGCAGAATAAATGGCTATAGTGAAAGATAACACTGTCTGTTTAAAAAGATTCAGCTTTCTGGAAAGCTTAGGCTAAACCACATATCCACCTGCATGCCTTTAATAATTTAGTGCATTGAGCATGGCATTTTAGTGACACAGAATATATTTACAGGCGAAATAATTTTTGCAACGGTTTTTCAGTGGCATTTTATGGAAAAATTTAAATGTGTGCATTATGCATAAGCCATCAAAAGCTTAAGTGAATAATTGGTGTTCATTTTGTTCTTTTTTTAAATGATTGTTTCTTGTTGTCCAATCCAAAGTTTTATGTGGATTAATTTAAATCAAATACATTTTGTTTAAAAC